AAAGCCAGATGAATAATCAACTGGCCATCATTTTCATCGCTCGAATATTACTAGAGAAAGCCTCTACATAATGAGCATATAATCTAACAAGTGCGCACTTTTGCAAAAATTAAAACAGGGAAAAACAGAAAATAATTCTGATGCTGCATGATCATATGAAAACGAATAATCATCTATGTAACCCGAAAGAAAGTTTCCCATGAAAAGAATACAAGAGAAACAAAATTGCATAGACTACCACGAGTTGATGTATCACAGTAAACAGAACAGTTCATTTTCCCATACACTACTGAGAAACGACGACACAAAACACACTGACATTATTTGAAGAGACAATTAATTCGTAAAAACAAAAACAAAGTTTGAGATTGTACACGTGTTAACAAATGCAACATCTGTCTTTTTCTTCACAAACAATAAGTAAATTGTAAGTTAAATGAAATAACTAAATAGTCAACAGCAAATTAACTGTAAATTGCATTAAATTAAATAGTTTGATGATAGATAATATAGCAATTGCACATCGTTTGTAACAATTAGTCTATATTCGTTTAGACTGTGACACGGAACGTATGCAATTCTTAATGGATAATTCTACTACTTTTTTGTGTATACTAATTAAGCCAGTACAAGAACTCTACATAATGAACACCTCTCTTAGCGAACACTTTTTTGATGATCCCAGTGGTGTTCACTATAAAGAGGTTTTACTGTAATAACAATCATCTATCTTACTTTGTTATTGTATAAGCAGTAATAGGCCACAATCGACATGTCTTGATCAGTCAAATGACTCCAACCCAAATCCAACTCTGGTTGATCTTGACATTCAGCAATCTGTTTCTCCAATGCAGAATTGCGATGTTCTGGTGGTAGCGTTTCTGCAATTATTGATTTGCATGCTAAAACAAAGTCAGTATTTGGTCAATATGACTTCTTGAAACACATAAGAAGACGGAAACAAACTATTTGCCTTTTATCATCCAGTTTGACTAAAATTATATTCACTCATGTCATATTTGTTCTGAACGCATCCTCGGTTTTTCGTTTTCTTAGTGGTTCATTCCTAAATTTGGAAACGGCTTTATCTAGAAATGGGTACGATTAGCCTTGTATATCTTGAGGTTGTGTGGGTGTGGGTGTATAGGAGATTCAACACCCACACCCGAAAACGTAATAGCGTTATGTTTGGAGAAGCTGAATGAATTTACATTTCAGAAGTGACCCTATGTTGCGAATACTGGATCACTTTTAGCGGTAAACGGCGATAAATTCATATTTTCCGGTTAATCCAGTCATTCCGGCGTCGATAACCGGACCGGTAAAACCGCCGTAAACCGCCGGTTTTTGGAGCTTTTTTATCACATGAGAGGGTGTTGTAAAAAGACATTTAAAACAGCAAAATTAATGATTTGGAGCAATTAATTGTCAAAGTTCATGGGCGAACCGATTAACCGGATAATTTTGGCGGGAATCTGCGATAACCGGCAAACCGGGCGGTTTTCCCACAATTTTTATCAGATCGGAAACAAAAATAAGTGGATTTCATCAAAGAAATCAGAAGATAAGGACAAGAGTGGAGGTATCCTTGACAAATGCTGGAACCCTTTACTTGTCGAATTTCTTTTTATGAAGATTAATTTACCTATTATTTCGTCTATTTCATTTTTGCTTTGGACATCGAGTGCTTTTTTGTGCCATTCAATGCTTTTATCGTAGTCACCTTTTTGCGATGCGATGTTACCGAGTTCTTCGAATAAAGTCATACGTAAAGGATCATTCAACGATATTTCATTTACGAAACGTCTATAGTATTTGTCAGCTAGATCAAGCATTCCCATATTCCATAGTAATTTTCCCAGACTTCGAAGACATGTCTCACCATTTTCATTGCTATTTTTCATGTCGGTTAAAACTTCGCGTAAGGCGTGTTCTTCATCACTGCTTAGAGTCATGTGGATCACCCACATTTGGTCGTCATCACAAATAATATTGTCGAGACAAAAGATAGAGCCAAGCATGAAGAGCACTTTGGATTCGCTGGGGAAATAGCTAATTGTACTGATATCAGCAAATGGTTTCGTCGTGACTACTTTAGGATCAGCTTCAATCTCAAATAATACTTGCACGGAATCGGTCAAATTTACTCTATCTCCCATGTAGAATATAGCTACTTGACGTTCCTTAGTGGTAGAGAGAAATGAGTTTATGGAAACAAACGATCCAATATGCTGCTTGAGATCTTCTAGTTCCGCCAGCGACATCAGCTGACTTCGATAAACCTTTACTGGAACCTTGGACTGATGATTCTGGAGTAGACCATATATATCAGAAATAAACGAACGGTAGAGAAACATTATATGAATATCTTGCTTCCTGAGAGATGCATTAAGTGTCTTATAGAAGAAGGTCTCACGCGAATACCACCAGATGGCTTTGTTTGAAAAGTAATGCTCTTGGAATTCGAGAATATTGGAAAGTTCTGACTTATTGTTTTCATACTCATTTTTGCAATAAGATATTAACTCGGTTTTGTCCATCTCATTGGAATTTATTCTCAGAATGCAATCGATAAGTAATTGAGAAAAAATGAATCGTCCATTAATTCCCGTTGTTGATTTACCTGCATCGTCGAACGTGCTGAACGTACTGATTATCAATGGTTCAGTTTTTCTTTGGATCTGATGATCTAATCTCATATTACAAAAGACTTCATTCAGATCAGTGACAACGGACTTGACCTAAAGTCGAAGGTACAAGAAACAATACATAGTTTTTTTTATTCTACCTTTGGAAAGTCCCTGGTCCATTCTTCACTGCTCTTTGTCTTACATAGAACATGGATGGACGAAACTTGTCGAAGTTCATGAATAGAAGGTATGAATTCTATTCCTAACTGATCATTAACAATCAGCACTATAGAAGCTTGCACTGAACTTGTTTCAATGTATCGTCGACATTCTTCTCCATATTGAAACTTCTTCTGATGATTGATGATAGTACGCAGTTTTCGTTGAATATCTAGATCATCTTTCATGTCAACATTGATACCAAGCCAAATAAGACTGAATATGTCAAGTGAATCTTCGTGATAATTTACATCAGAGACGTTTTTCGTTGCAACAGCTTTGGTCATTTTACGTGAAAATCTGCCCTAGACGTACTATATATTGTAAAATCATAGTCAAAGGCAAGATACTAACGCGCTTACTGCATTTAAGTACAATGCGAACTGTAATGGTTAACCTGAATCTAGTCGAAAGTAATAATGTGGGTGCTGTCGAGGGTACCAGTATGGGCCTGGAATGGTGGAGACCTTTCCTTCAATAGCCTGCATTTTTGCACCTAGTTACTTTGAGGAATTAGTACGATTGCTGGCGGGGTTTTGGTATTTCTACTTTCGACATTATTCAGGTGAATCGAGTGTTATATACAAAAAGCGTATATTCAACCCTGAAAAATGGGTATAACCAAGTCTTTTACCACTGGTTTTATAGAAGTACGACAACTCCTTCTGAGCAATAATCTAGCAGTTACAGTAATCCAAAGACTACGAAGTCATCATTAATTCATTGATAGCACACAGGATAGTCAGAGACTGGTGATTTTTGTGAGTGAAACCCCACAGAACAGAATTTATCAAGTCTTTGCTGTAGTAAATATTAACGCTAATAATTATTCTTTCCCAGACACAATCAATTCGTTTCAGCATACCTCCTGCAAATTCCTTTGGAATTATCATTGATTAAAATATTCATCATCTTGACTACAACACTGAAGGTAACGATTAGCAACAGTTTTGATCTTTTAGTTTTTGCTGAAAATAAAGATCAAAACGAAAAATTTAGCGGAAACATAGTGTGGCAGTAGGTGGAACGTTATAGGGTGTGGGTGTGGGTGTTTCTTTTCTCCTTAGCCAATCGTGCCACACCCACACCCACACCCCACACGCCCTCAAGAAATGCATGATTTGCCTACTTGAATCTCGAATATACATGGAAATATAATATCTAGCGATACTTTGAAAATAAGTGAGAACATATCTTCTACTGTCCTGAAAAATAAGAAATAAAAATGGGATTTTTTTTCGGAATTTTTAAAAGTGTGAAGAGCAAGGCTAATGTATATTATTCCTCTGATTTTCTCTTTCATCTTTCCTAGAGACTAAAACACATTTTCTCATCTGGGAGAAGACGTAAAAGATCTTTAGTTAGACATGCATAAAAGTTGTGTCTTCAATAAATATATATCTACAGTGTGAGGGTTTCAGAAAAAGAGATAAAACATGGGTCTCTCAGTGAGGTGCAACGAATATTGACCAAGGACGTCTCTTAAGGTATTGACTAATACAAAACATTTTCTCTTGTATTTGCTGTTCTTTTTGAGAAATTCCTGCAGGAATGGCGTCTTGGGAGCTTTTGGGTAAATGTTATTATTGATTATATGTTTCTATGGAAGAGACAAAAGATCCCGACAGATTAGGATACCTCCTCTGAAAATTATTCTTTTAGCATTTATGTGCATGTTATTATCTTGTCTTGTAAATATATGTTCTATTTTTCGCAACTCATAATTTCAAAGGCTTCTTTGAAATCTACAAATTTTCTCCTGTTAGATCTATTCACAGACAAATATGGAGGCTCTGCATAAAATACTTTCAATTTAAACTAAATTTAGTCACTCATCAATTAACGTTCATGTGAAGTAGGCGAAAGAATTGGACTTCAGACGATTCTTTATGACTTTAATCTATTTTAACCTAATTTATCAGTTTTAAATTACCCAAGTGAATATATGAAAAGAATATTACAAAAATTAGACTTTCTGCGTTACGCTACAAAAAGAGATTTATTGCAAACATAACAGTTGGAATCAATTACATTCATAAGCTATGACTAAAATTTGATCAGAATCCTGCCTTTCAGTCGAGTATTAAAGTAAATATTAATGAAATACATGTGTATACGTCATTTCTCGTATTAATTTTAAATCTCAGTTTGTATACTCAGAATCATATATCGAAAATCAAGTATTAATCACCAATTAACAATAAATATGAAGCACTACGTAAGAAAATTTTAGTAAATGCTATGCTAAGTTAAGCGACATAGCCGTTTGGTAAAAGTGGATGACTTATTCTTTATGTGTTGTAAGTTAAGACGATTCTTACCTCAAAGTTTATAATCGATTATAAAAGTCAAGCTAGCTGAGATAAATTATGATTGTTCTCTTGACTTTAATCCAAAAACATACATCAACATTGGCTTGGTGTTTTTATGGATTATAATCGTTGAGATAAGACTTTCTAAACTTATAAGATACAGATTATAATCGGTTCAAAAGTATTTCGAATTTCGTAAAAGTGGATAGGTTTCAATCGATTAAAATTTCCAACCACTTGTGATGAATAATCATCGGTATTCCTTGACTTTACTGCAAATAATAAGTCAAATATTGATGAAAGGAGTGGGGACACTTTGTACACAAAACGGCCCTAAATGAAAATCAGTTCTAACTACGATTTGACGCTGTACTGTGTGTGAGTACACGATTCTGAGCTTTTACAGGACATTTTCAAAAGGTTTTAGTCTCCGTCTACAAACAGTAGATCTCTATAATAAAACATACACTGCCACGACTATTGTAGCAGCCAGCAACACATTATACAGATCTGCTAATAACCTGCAGATAGAGCTTTTCAAAACCTACAAAATGATCATAAAACATCCAATAAAATATGCAGTGCTCGACAATTCCTAAACAGCATACTGTCGAAAGTGTATGGGAAAATTATTGTTTGCGTTGAGAATGCTGAATATATTGCTTAACAGATTTGTTTTGAAGTTGCTTATCGTGTAGTGACGGAGAAAATAGTGTCTGAATATCAGTTCATGGAATAGGATTGGGTATTTTTATGGACATCCTTATTTATACTGCATCGGATACTAGTGGATCTATTGTTACGGACATCCTTTTCAGTAGGGCATTGGATCGTATGGGATGTTTTTCATGGGCATCCGTATCGTTATCTTATTGGCCTATAGCTCCTTCCTCTTTGGTCAGTGTGTTGGATTTAGAGTCAAACGTCTTATAGGACATCCTTTTCATCGTCATCTGTGACCGGAATTCGATACCGAGATTGTGGAAGTTAAATAAACAATCGCTATCCCCATTGGACCACCCGGTTGGTTTAAATTAGGTCGGATGAGTAATATGAAGAGTATTGTATTGATTAGAATATATAAGTTAAACTGACAGGTAATCACATGGGAAAAGCAAAGGAAGACAAGGGTGTAGAATGGTTTTTGTTACGGATGGAACTTATCAATCTTGAATTTCTATTAAACAAACCGAATCGTTATTCGTACTTTTATTTCTGAAGAAAAATTTCATATATAAATATGTATATCATTCTGATGTATAGATATAGCTATTATCTACGTCATCCGAAGACGGTTCAAAATCTGAAATATCGTCTGCATACTAGATGTTTGTGGTATTAGTTGATGATGGTTGTCGGCTTCTAGTACTTTGATAGCGTTCATAACCTAGAAAGCAAATAGCTGCTGAAATATGTGAGCAACATCCGACTGTTCGCGGACCTTGTATGCGCGCACAGTACCATGCGATAACTTGTGTTGAGTCAAATTGAATGTATGTATGATAGGTGCATGATTTATATGCAGATCGAAATCCGGATCCGTGAGTTCAGTGCAGGCGCTGTGTTCTTCAGCATAACTTCTTGCTCTTTTCAGTCGGTAGACACCTGAGAAATAGTTAGATGTTAATGAAGATTTGATCGAAAAGTTTGATACCTAGAGTTATAGATCTGATATCATCGAGAGATAAGACAGGAAATGGTTCAAATAAATTGTCAATATCTATAAATTGCCAAACGTCATGTCGCTGCAGATTATCTTGGATAAGCCATTCTTGCAAGATGTTGCTTTTTGAGAGCAGTTGATTCACACGTCGAATTATATCATCATCTTCGGGTGAGGCTACTATCATGGGTACATGAAAACAGTTATTAAGTGCTGCTACAATGGCCATAAAATCAGGAACGGATGGCAAAGATGAATTTTGAATGGTTTGACTGAACCATCTGAATCTTTTGAGCCGTGCATTGACACCTTCAACCACTCAACGTCGTTTCGTGACAAAACGTGATCGGTTGGCATCGCAGTGTCGATCCCAAGAACTTTTAGTACGCCAAGAGAACCACGGAAGCCTCTGTCTAAAATCATGATGTCATTGTCCTTGGTCCAATTAAGAACATCTTCATAGTTGTTGAGCATGATATGCTTCAGAATAGAAGCGTCATTGTTATGAAAGTCGGAGAAGAATGGTCCACAAATTGTGACTATATACCCAGTTGTGGTTACCCTTCTGCAGACTGTATGTCTTACGTTGAACTGCATTATTTCGACTTTTCTATTTCTCAAAAAAAAGTGTTAGCTTGAAAATGCTCGTGACTTATGTTACCTGTATATATAGGTAGGTTCCATCGAGTACCAGCATGCATGGGTCTCGGCCCTCAGTCAATAAACGATTTGCGATTGGTGATGTATGCTTGTCGATAATATCCTGCTGTGTCAAGTGAGCTAAACCCAAATAGCGAGGTACGAAGTGTTTAGTGTCCGCAAGTTGAGCCTCACATATGATACGGCTCATTTGGTGTCTGCTGTCTACACCGACCATAGATGCTAAAACCGAACCGCTCAAGCCCAGTTTTAATTCCATTAAAAGATACGCCAGAGCAGATCGAGCTGACCTTGTCGCTGAATTCCTCAAAGATGTTGTAGATATATGTGACAAGATATGAGCATGCTGAGCTCGAGTAAATCCAGTCAGTTTGATGTAATCAGCATCTGCCAAGCACATACATTCGTCAAAAGTAAGGTGCTTGTTACTTTTGAGTCGTGTACGATACGATTTAAGGAGTTTTATAAGCGTTTGTCGAGAAAAAAAAGTCGATATTGCACTTTGTGTGGTACCAGAGACTGGAACACTGCAGGCATTTCGATGTGGCGTCGAATGAACAATTCAGTGCGATCTGAGGGTGAATGCTAAGTGACACCCTCAAGGATTGAAACCGACGATTCGTGGTACTTCTTCTCGGTAAATGATCTTCTG